AGCGAGCCTTACGCCGCTGCTGGGACTCGGCTCCAGCCCTTTCCCGGCCGCGGTCGGGGCCGCACCGCAGGGCCGGGGGTCTGCAGGGGAGCGAAAGGTTGCACCCCGTGAAGAAGCACCCCCTGCAGGGCCCAGCCGCCTCCTGCTCCAGCAGCGCGGCTCGGGCCGGCCGGCAAAGCGGCGTTGTGCCTTGGGGCCGCGCTGAAGGCTGCGGAGGGGGCTCCGTCTGGCGGGAGGAGGGGGGGCTCTGCTGCCGGGGTGCAGCCGCCTTATAACTTATCATTCATCAAAATGGCGTCGGTTTTCAGCATCTAGCCGTCTTTTGGGTCTAATATCCATCGGGGTGGGTGTGCAGCCGCGATCCTGCATGGGCTGGAGGTGGCCCAGGGGCTGCTGCCGCCCCAGCATCCTCCCGATCCGTTGGCGACAGTAGATAAATGGCAGCTGGATGGCAGGGGGATGGCGAAGGCGCTCTCCCCCTTTATCCAGCCGCTCGCTCGCAAGCTGGATGTAAATCTTGCCCGGTGTTTCTCGTTTCCTTGGCCTCACTACTTCTGACAGTGTGACACTGTTGCATTGATTTGGCTTGTTGGGGTTGGGGGTGTTGATGTGGTGGGGGGGAGTTGTCTTTGGTTCGGTCACTTATTAGTTAACATCCTGCTCTTCCTGGATGAGATGAGTTATAACGGGACTAACATCTCTTCTGTTCATTTTGCACTGGAGTCATCATAACAATGCACCGAGGCAGAGGTGAATTTATTCATCCAATATTAAGAAAAGCAGTGTATATTACAATGTACTGTACCTATATATAATATAGATGGGGACTATGGTGTTCCATCTGCACTATTTAGGATGATTATACCTTTTATAAGGAAAGAGAGAGAAACCTGGACCTGCTCAGGTTCATTTTTAAGCAAACTTTATAAAGAGGCTCTATTTTATCATAAAATGGTGAGATTAAATCAAATTGGAGATTGGTTTCAGGACTTCCATTCATTAAATAAACTACCCTGGTATATCTTTCACCTTTTTCAGAGCCAATTTTCTAAAGGTCCTTAGATTCATTGCTGCTGGATCAGTAAGTGAAAGGAGCACAGTTGCAAACTGAGGCTGGAAAATGTTTCATTCATAGGGTATCTTTTACAGTTCTGATAGTGGTTTTCTAAACCAATGGGGGGAGGGAGGACTGGCATTATCACACTTTTGTGTGTTTAAACTAAGTGATATAAGCTTTTGATCAATTGGGAAAAATTCTTCTTAATGTCCTTTAATTAATGAGCTTAAAAGAGATCACTGTAGCCTAAGAAGTGCTAAAGAAATATATCAGGATTACTTAGGCAAGTGATTCCATCCACACCATACTGGATTGTTTTCTTGGTAGTGGCTGAAATGCTTGAAAAATACCACCACCACATTTTGGGTGGGATTTTTGGTAGAAGACTAGTTTTGCACACGTAAGGAAACAGGCAAAAGGTAATTGCTGTTCTTACTCATTTTCCAGTGTCAGACAAAGAGCCCATTGCTATTTACAGTTTTTTCCTTTTTTTAAGTTTTGGCATTTCTGTAAGAGTATTTTTAGAGATGGTTGTGATTTGTCATCATGCATATCTTGTACACACTTTTTTTTTTTTAAAGGGATCAATTCATTTCATTGTATAATAGTAACCAAAGCTAGAACTGGAACAATTCCGCCTCCAGAAATACAATTCAGTTTTTGTCATTTTGTATTCATGTTTTCAGAAAATTAAGGAGAAATTATAGGGTTTTTTTAATTTCCAAAGTTAATATTTATATCTTTTAAAATGGCAAATGCATATTGAATGCTTTTCTTATACAGTGAAGCAACTGGTTAGCTGAATACGTCTGTGCATTAAAATGTATGTTCACTTATTTACTAATTTTTTTTTTTTTGGTGGGCATGCGGGAGAACAAAAGTTTTGTAAACCAAATTAACCTTGCATATCTCAATTTTTCAGAGGATGGCCAGTATTTTCTAAAGGTCCTCATACCTAGTTATGCTGCTGGATCTATAATTGGGAAGGGAGGACAGACAATTGTTCAGTTGCAGAAAGAGACTGGGGCGACCATCAAGCTGTCTAAATCCAAAGATTTTTACCCAGGTAGGTGCAAATATTAGCAGATTACTTTTAAATCCCTAGGGAAATACATACATGGTATGTGTGGTTTATGCATTGAAGAGTAAGTTTCTCAGTGCAGTCTGCAGCATTATTGAGCAGAAAAGCTCACTACAATGTGTTACAGTGAGCATATGAACAGACTTAATCTTAATTTGTATATGGAATTGACTGAATGCTGTCTAATAGTGTAGTGGCCATAAAATAGACTAAAATTATTTAGGATATTAGTGAAGGGAAATGTGAATGTATTTTCTAAGCACTACTTATTACTAAAAATCTACTTTTAGAGGACCATCTTTGACAGGTGGAATTAAAAATGGAATTGTTTCTGAAGTTTTCAGACATCATTGTAAGGCAGTTAAGTTAGAATGAGTAAAAATGGAAAGTTGGTTCTTAAAGAACGGGCCATTTACTTTAAATCCATTAGATATCATCTTTCTGCATCATTGCTTTGTTCACTGGCCCTGCAGGGAAGTAAAGAGGACAAGTGTTACTGCTCTTCAGATGTTTTCTTTAGATTGTGTTTAACATGACTATGAAAGGAAAATCTATTATGTTATGAAAGGAAGATAATACTTTGGATGAATAAGGAAAAAAAGGTGGTGTTTGTATAAAGACAGTATGCATAAAACACAAAAGTATTCAGTATTTATTTGCATTGTGTCTGTTTTTGTTTCAGCCTTTTCTCATTTTTGATCAAAATGTTATAAATAACAGGTCCTGCATAATGGTCTGCATTCCTTTGAAATTCTGCAAAATATTTCTATGGGTCCATGTGGAGTTTGACTTTTTAATAACAAATTAGTATCTAGTAAGTGGACTTCTAGTCAGAATTGAAATCCATCTCATTTTTTACTGCAATTAATTCACTACATAGCTATAATTTCACCACTGTTTTGGTTTTGCAACTTTGAACTGAACCTGATAATTCAGTGCCAAGGTGACTAGATATTATTGATATTTTGTTTTTTGTAGAGAAGACCTAGCTGTTTTGCATTTGGTGAGCTAATTCAGCAAGATGACTGAATTTTCTAAAACAGCAAAAGACAGCTGGCATGAATGTAAGCAGAGCATGAGCATTTGAAGTATTTCAGTTTCTTGTCCACTCTGTTCCACTGTAAAGCAGAAGTAGATAATTTATACTCTATGGAAAGATTATAATTATTTTGAAGTTATCATTTTCATATGAAATTGAAAAATGCACCTGTTATTTTTCTGTCATACAGATGCAGTTGATTGCATTCTAATGTACTAACACAATTAAAATGTTTAGATTTTCTATAGAATAAAATAGTTCTATAATTGCTATTCATTGTCTTTCAGGAACGTCTGGTGTTTTTGCCCTTAATCTTTTACGTTAGGAAGGTTTTGATAACCTGATTCTTGTATTTTGAAAGGTGTATTAGGGTGAAAAAAATCAATGCAGAATTGTGAAAACTCTATGGAGATATAAAAGCATTCAAAAGAGTCTGCAGAATTAATAGCGTAATCTAGGAAAAGTGCTGCAATGGTAAATTAAATCCACTGTCAATAGATAAAGAATCAATTTCATTTTTGCATTGTGTACAAGGTGATATCAGAAATATAAGGCTGTTACAGAAAATGAGTGTTTATGAAGGATATTCCAAATACTAAATTATATGCCTTTTCATTTGGCTATAGTTTATTTACAGTGAGATGGAAAGGATGCACCAAAAATTATATATATATATTTTGTTCAGTGCTCTAACATAGAACAAAATAACTATTCTGATTTAATCACAATTACTTACTTTTTTTTGTTCAGTGCTCTAACATAGTTATTTTGTTCTATTCTGATTTAATCACAATTACTTACTTTTTTGTTCTGCAAATTGTGCAGATACAGCAGAATCAGCAGGAGTGTCCTTTGAAAATTAAAAATTAGGCAAGCCAGAATGAGATGAATAAAAAAAAGTCTAATTTTTCTGTGACGTAAACAGATTCTCTCTGAAGGAGATACCAGGGCAAGAGATACTTGGCACAGTTTAATTTTAGGAGGTATAGGGCCAACGTCCCTTTATACATTACATAGTGTCTTATATATGTAACCCTGGTGTAGGTCATTTAGCAAATTAATGATTTAGGCAGAATTAAAGATGGACTGTTGCTTACTACAGAATGGTCACATGAGAAAAATGGATTGTCTTGTTGCTGGCTCTTGTTAGTTTCTGTTTGCATTTGTCCACGAGCCAGTGGAATTTTCTGAGGTCCTGGCATTCTCCAAGATGATTTTTTTTGGGTTTCTTCCAGCCCCTCTTACGTGAGGGATGAAAAACCCTGCTCATTTTAATACAAGTCTAAAATTTAGGACTGTGATTCATATTATTGAGGAATTTTTAATAACTGCACTTCAAATGAAAATATTTAGATGTATATATGTTCATTAACATTTGACTACTTTATATGTATCCATAAATATCTATTTTGTAAACACTATGTCTGTGAGGTTGCTGTTAAGTTTAAATTTTAGTTGGAAGGAAAGGAGTAACTGAAAGGGAAAGTTCAGTGGGACTTATGTGTGTGGGTGATTTGGAAGGGAGAAAGATTACAAGTAGTATGTTAACGTTACAAGTTTTTCACTGTGTGATCTAATGGCTTCTTATGGTACAAGTATTCAATATACAGAGTAAGTCTGTCAGAATAATTTTTATTTTTGTTCTCCAGAAAACTATTTACAGTAGTTTTAAAATGGAAACATTAATTATAAGTTGAAAGCAAGCGTGTATTTCTAATCTTTTTGTTAAAGGTTTTAGCTCAACAATATAATAGGTAGTTCTCTTTAAGAATTGTGTGTATTCTGTAACATCAGAACAGCAAAGGTTTTTTTAAGTAAATCCTAATTCCCTTGCAGTTACAAGACACTTTTTCTCTAGATTATCAACTACATTTTAAAAAATTGAATTGATATAAAATTTTATTTTCTGGTCATTTTATTTAGAGAATTTATCTATGAATCTTTTCAAACTGCTTACCAAGACTAATAGATCTGAAGAGAAATTGGCTAATCGTATGCTATGTAAAAAATGTGAGACTTGTAACAGAAAATATAAGTCCTAAATCTGTTTTTGGAAAGTGGCTTTTAATCCAAAATTTGAAATAATGGTATTGCTGTGATGCTAATTATTAGTGAGGTAAAATGTTTAAAGAAGGGGCTACCATGAAAGGTTGGAATTTGCATAATGTAAGAAGAGAAACCCAAGGTGATGCTTTCTTCTGTTTGTACTCTCTGTATTATCCAGTGCTCCATTTTTCAGACTTATGAAGAACACTGATGTGAAAACAACTCTAGGTGTATCTATTCCTTGTTTTACTAAACCTTTGCAAATAAATGTCTTTATATGATTTTGCATATGAGTGAAAAGTCTTCACATTGGAATCTTGCAACATGATATTTCCCAGCTTAGTGAATTTGAACTAGATTGATGATTTTTTAAGTGTGTTGTAATATGCTAAGTGAAATATAGTAGAAGACAGACAAAAATATGAAAATGAAATGGGAGTCTGTTTTTTATTTGACAAAATTCTAATTGGGTAGTCCTCAAGCTTGGCATGGGACATTTTAAGGTGGAAGAATTCTTTTCTTATGATAAAAAATACTCAACAAAAGAGTACATAGAATATATTTTTGAATGTCATTATGATGTTTTGTATTTACTAAATGGGTTGTCATAGGCTTTCATCTTGCATATGAAAATGAGATGTGGTGGGGTTTTTTTTTTTTTAATAGTGCATTTAGGTTTCACAACTGTCTTTGGGTATTGCTGTCCTCTGAAAAGTACTGTTGACTCTTAAAACCTGGAAGTGAATTGAGTGTGAAATACACAACTTTATCGAATATTTAAATTAAATACATCTAGCTTCATGATTCATGCTATAGTGCATGAGGCAGAGTGAAGGTATACTATATGAAGCTTGTTTCACCTCTGCTTTTTTCCCCTTTTATGTAATAAAGGAAGTGTATCCCTTTCACATACTATATGAAGCTTGTTTCACCACTGCTTTTTTTCCCCCCTTTTATGTAATAAAGGAAGTGTATCCCTTTCAGTTTTTAGTAGAAACTAATAGGTTCCCATTAGAAAAATACATCTGATTCATTTGAAAAAATAAAACTTGACATAGTTTGCTTTGTGGCTACATTACTATACTAAATGAAGGATGTTATTCCTTAAGCTCTAGAGAAGAGAGTTATGGGAAAATAAAATATTCCAGCTTGTTGATATAAATCATGTGCATCTTGGTTTTTATTCTCTGATAACTGAGTATTTATCACAGATTTCTGAATCATCAATGGGAAAGTAAGGACTTCGTAAAAATAAAAAAAAACATAAGGCTTGCTTTACTATATTGCAGACTCTTACTCATGTGAGTAATCCTATTTATAACAATTGAACTGGATGAGTAAGAACTAGTCATTTAAGTAAGGGTTTCTAGAACAGAGCTCTTACAGCTGCATAGATTTGCAGACTTCTTTTTCTTAGGTTTTTACTAGTAAGAAACCAGGGGTTGATTGCCAGATGTTCAGAGGTAGAATCCTCAATAGGACAGCTGTCAGTTGTCTGGTTACTGGGACAGAATTAAAAAAAAAAAAAAAAAAAAAAAGTTAGCTTCCTAATTGAAGGGTCCTCAGTATTTTACATTCAAAATGAACTACAAACGAATATATATGCTCACTATGATGTAGTGATGTTGCACATCTAGTTGCTTGTACATGTATTATTTACTAATTTCCCTTCACTTGGAAGAGGATTATAGTAGTTTTTAATATTTTCATATTGTGTGGGTTTTATTCATCTTTTTTTTTTAAGAAAAGCATTTTCCATGTTAGGTGAATAAGTGTTTGAACTTGTTGATTTATTGAGTGAAAAGAAATATTATAATTAGTAAACTTCTTTGTGCTGCATTGAAACGGCCAGCTAACTTTTAACAATAAAACTTATAATACTCAAACCTGTTATATGAAA